CCATAGCTAACACCAGCTGCCAGGAGGAGGGACTGGCGGGAAAGTCCTGCTCAGCCCCTGCAGCCCTGAGATTGAAGCATGCTCCATCACTCTCCCGCACCAAGAGCCCTGCTCTGGGGCTGCCCCTCCACACTCCACTTGAAATGATCCGATTAGCGCTAAACAGAAATGCAGGGAAAGCCCTCAATAAACCAGCCTGCCCCCAAACAGCCCTTGTCTCTGAGCCAGCATGGCCTAGTGCTTGCTGGAAGAACTCTCCTCCCGATCTTTGAGCCACAAGCCCCCCAGCAGAGATTGATGGGCTCCCAGGGAGGGGGAGGGAATCTGCTTTCCATGTGGCTCTGAGGCCAGAGGATGCTCAGGGAAAAGCAGGGCTCTGGGAGCCACTGTCACATACCCAGAACACGGTGGAGCGTCTGGTACTTCTGGGGATGGCGGGATCCCTTCCCCGCCAGCATGACCTCACACATGGTGTGTATGATGTCACACTGCTGCAGCCATTTTTAAGAGCACGCAGCACAGGGGCGTCATTTTGGAGAATGCCCCTGCCGGCGTGACCTTGTGTGTGAGGGCGCTCTTCAAATGTTGTCCAGTGATGTCCACCAGCCAAGTAGTGGATGAGGGACAAACTCTAGAAATGCGGGACTGTCGGGCTTAACACCAGCTGAGTGGCCTGCCTCTATGTAACAGGTCTGTGGCTATAGCCCAATGGTTCTCTGTAAGCTTTGCACATAGGGGATCCTGCGTTCAGTCCTTGGTGTCCCCAACTTCTCTGTCTGAATGGAGACTTTGGTTAGGCCTGGCTGAGTGGTGGAGGAGGTGGCTGTGAAGTGCAGTAGGGTTCTCCTGGGTAGGTTTGAATCCTGCTCACTGCCCTGGATAAGTTCCACTCCCCTGAAAGGCATGTGGGCTTTGTGCTCCTAAATGAGCTTGGTGCTTTTGAAAATCCCACCCTGTGCTCCTCACCAGGGGGGCGCGGGGAATCCTGGAGAGAGAGTGGCACATCGACACATCCTCAATAGCAAAGAAATCTGGTGCTGAAAGAGCTAAGATCATAGAATATCAGGGTTGGAAGGGACCTCAGGAGGTCATCTAGTCCAACCCCCTGCTCAAAGCAGGACCAATCCCCAATTAAATCATCCCAGCCAGGGCTTTGTCAAGCCTGACCTTAAAAACTTCTAAGGAAGGAGATTCTACCACCTCCCTGGGTAACGCATTCCAGTGTTTCACCACCCTCCTAGTGAAAAAGTTTTTCCTAATATCCAACCTAAACCTCCCCCACTGCAACTTGAGACCATTACTCCTTGTCCTGTCCTCTTCTACCACTGAGAATAGTCTAGAACCATCCTCTCTGGAACCACCTCTCAGGTAGTTGAAAGCAGCTATCAAATCCCCCCTCATTCTTCTCTTCTGCAGACTAAACAATCCCAGTTCCCTCAGCCTCTCCTCAGAAGTCATATGTTCCAGACCCCTAATCATTTTTGTTGCCCTTCGCTGGACTCTCTCCAATTTATCCACATCCTTCTTGTAGTGTGGGGCCCAAAACTGGACACAGTATTCCAGATGAGGCCTCACCGATTTCAAATAGAGGGGGACAATCACGTTCCTCGATCTGCTCGCTATGCCCCTACTTATACATCCCAAAATGCCATTGGCCTTCTTGGCAACAAGGGCACACTGTTGACTCATATCCAGCTTCTTGTCCACTGTCACCCCTAGGTCCTTTTCCGCAGAACTGCTGCCTAGCCATTCGGTCCCTAGTCTGTAGCTGTGCATTGGGTTCTTCCGTCCTAAGTGCAGGACCCTGCACTTATCCTTATTGAACCTCATCAGATTTCTTTTGGCCCAATCCTCCAATTTGTCTAGGTCCCTCTGTATCCTATCCCTGCCCTCCAGCGTATCTACCACTCCTCCTAGTTTAGTATCATCCGCAAATTTGCTGAGAGTGCAATCCACGCCATCCTCCAGATCATTTATGAAGATATTGAACAAAACCGCCCCCAGGACCGACCCCTGGGGCACTCCACTTGACACCGGCTGCCAACTAGACATGGAGCCATTGATCACTACCCGTTGAGCCCGACAATCTAGCCAACTTTCTACCCACCTTATAGTGCATTCATCCAGCCCATACTTCCTTAACTTGCTGACAGAAATACTGTGAGAGACAGTGTCAAAAGCTTTGCTAAAGTCAAGAAACAATATATCCACTGCTTTCCCTTCATCCACAGAACCAGTAATCTCATCATAGAACGCGATTAGTTTAGTCAGGCATGACCTTCCCTTGGTGAATCCATGCTGAATGTTCCTGATCACTTTCCTCTCATGTAAGTGCTTCAGGATTGATTCTTTGAGGACCTGCTCCATGATTTTTCCGGGGACTGAGGTGACGCTGACTGGCCTGCAGTTCCCAGGATCCTCCTTCTTCCCTTTTTTAAAGATTGGCACTACATTAGCCTTTTTCCAGTCATCCGGGACTTCCCCCGTTCGCCACGAGTTTTCAAAGATAATGGCCAATGGCTCTGCAATCACAGCCGCCAATTCCTTTAGCACTCTTGGATGCAACTCGTCCAGCCCCATGGATTTGTGCACGTCCAGCTTTTCTAAATAGTCCCTAACCACCTCTTTCTCCACAGAGGTCTGGCCATCTATTCCCCATGTTGTGATGCCCAGCGCAGCAGTCTGGAAGCTGACCTTGTTCGTGAAGACAGAGGCAAAAAAAGCATTGAGTACATTAGCTTTTTCCACATCCTCTGTCACTAGGTTGCCTCCCTCATTCATTAAGGGGCCCACACTTTCCTTGGCTTTCTTCTTGTTGTCAACATACCTTAAGAAACCCTTCTTGTTACTCTTGACATCTCTCGCTAGCTGCAGCTCCAGGTGCGATTTGGTCCTCCTGATTTCATTCCTACATGCCCGAGCAATATTTTTATACTCTTCCCTGGTCATATATCCAACCTTCCACTTCTTGTAAGCTTCTTTTTTATGTTTAAAATCCGCTAGGATTTCACCGTTACGCCAAGCTGATCGCCTGCCATATTTACTATTCTTTCGACACATCGGGATGGTTTGTCCCTGTAACCTCAACAGGGATTCCTTGAAATACAGCCAGCTCTCCTGGACTCCTTTCCCCTTCATGTTAGTCTCCCAGGGGATCCTACCCATCAGTTCCCTGAGGGAGTCAAAGTCTGCTTTTCTGAAGTCCAGGGTCTGTATTCTGCTGCTCTTTCTTCCTTGTGTCAGGATCCTGAACTCGACCGTCTCATGGTCACTACCTCCCAGGTTCCCATCCACTTTTGCTTCCCCTACTAATTCTTCCCGGTTTGTGAGCAGCAGGTCAAGAAGAGCTCTGCCCGTAGTTGGTTCCTCCAGCACTTGCACCAGGAAATTGTCCCCTACACTTTCCAAAAACTTCCTGGATTGTCTGTGCACCGCTGTATTGCTCTCCCAGCAGATATCAGGGTGATTGAAGTCTCCCATACAGGCAGATTACACCCAGGAGGGACGCTGGGCAGCAGTGCAACATGTCTGGGGTGATGGAATCAATGAAAGGTGAGACCAAATGAGGAGCAGGTGAATGGCAGAGCACCTCTCTATACCATCCCCACACCAGCATTCCTGAAGGCCCACAACCCTACCCCTATCACTCTACACCAAGGGAAAGTATGGACAACAACAGCTTTTCCTACACTGACCTGTTACAGCCATTGTTGATGAATGTGTAGCTACAGTGGAGATCACTGTTCCTCCCTCTTGTTTATTTATAAGGTGCCCAATTTTTATTTTTTGAAATTGTATTTTAATTTCTGTAGTTTATTGTTGAAGCTGTTTTCATAAGTGAATAAAACTATTCTGTTTTGAAAGGTACTTATCTTTATTAGTGTACAGAAAAGAATGTATAATGACTGCTGGAGTGGTCTTGTACACTCAGACCCCATTGGATCATGGCCAAACTCGTTAGTTTTGAGTTTCGTTAGCTGCTTTCACAGAATGAGGAGCACTTGTTCAGTGATTTCACAGGGTGGAGTTGTAGGGCTGTTTAGATGTGGTCAGTGATTCTCTCTAGTACCTCTTCTGGGTGGCTCTTACAGGTGATAACTCAGATACACTCACTGAGCCACATCATCACACCCTAGTGTAATAAAGATGTCCGGGACATCTCCCAGTTAGTTCAAACGAAACATGAACAAAATGATACTAAAATGACATGAGGTTGGAACTCTCCTGCGCTCTCAGCCTATGGACTTCTGTGCAGTAGGCGATGTAGCTGCAGTCGAGGAATCAGGCAGTTCCAGACTGAGAGTTGATGAGGAAGGTGAAGGGTCTTTGTGGTTGACAGTTAAGCTCACCATGCTTTATGCTGCCTCCCCCGAGGTTTCCAGGCAAATCAGGTGGGAAGTAGGCCTTGGATGCAGACAGCATGGTCCACTCCAGTTGGAATGAGGCAGATGGTTGCAAAAGTTGTTAACTGAAAAACTACCTACTGCATCATGCATCCATCACTAGTCTTAAAAATATATGTGGCCATCCCATGACAGATTTCACAACTTTCCTTTGCAAATAAGAGAAGTGGAAACCCCAGTGATTCTTGCAGTTAAACTGGGTAAAAGGTGACAATTTTTTTTCTGAACTAGTTTTCTTCTTAACAGAAATTTACTTTAAAGCTTATTGAAATAAATTCCATCTGAAATAGAAATACCACACTAGTTCAGTATTCTCATGTACATTATTTCTCTCACATATTCCACTACTCCAATTTTTGGTGTGTGGTTTTACTTCAGAACTCCTTAGTCCAAAGAGGAAAAATGACATCAAAGAAGATTTTCAGTGTTAGCCACCATTTCATATAATACTAACAAAAACAATGTAACTCTGTTTTCTGATGTAATTTGGGTTATCACATTAGACTCTTAATTATTAGTTTAAGAATAACTTCCTGTTTACTTTAATTTTCATTGGTACCAGTAACATTCAAAAATTACAAAATATTATCACGTTAGTTTTCTTTTAATCCCCATTTCCATATGGTGAAAGCTTCTCTAAAGTTGTGATTTACCCCACCATAGGTGCCTTCCACTTCAGTGAGTTCTAGGTCTTCTCCCGTAAGTGTTGGTGGAAGGGGTTTCACACTATGTGGGAAAGTTTGCACCATGAAAATAGCACCTCTACTTTATTCTCATATTTTTAAAACCTTTCAAAGTAGCAGGAGGTATAGAAGTGATGCAAATACATAATACACAAGAGCAAACCTAAGAGATTAAGGACTCAACATTCAAGTACCTTGCCATTTGAACTTGGAGCCTGACACTCCCTCATTGGTTACCATCACTTGCACAAAGTGAAAATCTTTGTTGTCAAACAAGGCACACAGACTGCGATCTAGGGGGAAGGAATGTCCTCTAAAGGCATCAACAGTTTCTCTCTTTGCATGCGAATGGTAAGGGACAATTGTTCCCAATCTAACTATGGCATCCTTTGGGACTGTAATCAATGCCACTGAAATAGAAAATGTTGTTCTAAAAATAGTTTGAGTTGGACATAGTTCTTCATAGCTTCCTTCTCTGGTGTGAAAACCAACCATTGGATGCCTGCTACTTCTACCTGAATTCTTCCCAAATCTTTTACCTTTGTCAGGGTAAATTCACACTTCTCTGGAGTAGAAACCTCTACCAACCCACCCAAAATCTCAGCAGTGTTAATGAGGAATAGCTTCCCTAAACATGCCCAGTTCATTTATTTTTAATCAGGTGGTACAGGCCTCAATTAGAAACTGGATACAGACCTGGATCAGAATTTCTGCCAGTTAACATTCAATACTGATTTCATGTTACACACATTCGCAGCAATTAGAACAGATGAGTTCAGCAAAAACACTTCTATTTCCCAAATCAGAGGATGAACTAGGAGATATTTTCAGGAGTAACCTCCTGTAGGGCATGGGTCACAACTCATTGGGAACCAAATACATGTGCATTTTGCCTATTTTCAAGTTACTTACTATGGAACACTCTCCCCAGATCATTGAAAAAAAACTGACCTAAATAGTTAAATACAGTTGTGATCATATCTATTTACTTCAGTTAGTTACACAATTTGAGTTGTGCTGTGGTTCACAGTTTGAAAGCTGAGATTTAAAACACGACTGTTTCCTTGATAGTGTATCCAATACCTTGGACTATTCTCTCCTATTGACTGAGCTACACTTAAACTTTCTTCATGTGATCATGAAGGGATGGGGGGAAAGAACAAAAAGAAAGTAAAAAGCAATTTTGGCAAATGGTTATATGTCTCCAAGTCCCCCATAATTCTGAGCTACATTCTGTCAAACAAAATTAATATCTAGTGATGTGACCAAACGGCCTCCAGGAAAGAGAAAAACCCACATTACAAAGAGGAATATAACACTTCCAGTTTTATATTAAGTGACATTTCAGAGCAGCTTATATCTGATGACTCAGAATCAGGACCACAGATTCTCCCACCTCATTCTCCTCTGATCTGTTCAAACCTGCTTCACTCAGCACTGTCTCATTATTATTGAGTCATGTTATTTATGAAAGTTTTAGCCTTGTAATGGGGAAAAAATAGCCAATCTTCCCATCTGGAAACAATTCCAACTCAGCCCTAAAAGTGGCTTTGCTAATAAAGGAAAAGTGGGATTTAAATTCCGAACGATCACACCGAGTTTCAGATCAATTTAAAGTCTCCTTTAAAGTCTGTGACACTTTCATCTCCAGCTCCAGAGAGTCTGATTTAGGATCAAAGAAATCATAGCACAGAGAGTGGAGAATATTGCATCAACTGACACTCTGCAAAATGTGAAGAAGATAAACTCCACAAGGATCATAGAATCATAGAATATCAGGGTTGGAAGGGACCTCAGGAGGTCATCTAGTCCAACCCCCTGCTCAAAGCAGGACCAATCCCCAATTAAATCATCCCAGCCAGGGCTTTGTCAAGCCTGACCTTAAAAACTTCTAAGGAAAGAGATTCTACCACCTCCCTAGGTAACGCATTCCAGTGTTTCACCACCCTCCTAGTGAAAAGTTTTTCCTAATATCCAACCTAAACCTCCCCCACTGCAACTTGAGACCATTACTCCTTGTCCTGTCCTCTTCTACCACTGAGAAAAGTCTAGAACCATCCTCTCTGGAACCACCTTTCAGGTAGTTGAAAGCAGCTATCAAATCCCCCCTCATTCTTCTCTTCTGCAGACTAAACAATCCCAGTTCCCTCAGCCTCTCCTCATAAGTCATGTGTTCCAGACCCCTAATCATTTTTGTTTCCCTTCGCTGGACTCTCTCTAATTTATCCACATCCTTCTTGTAGTGTGGGGCCCAAAACTGGACACAGTACTTCAGATGAGGCCTCACCAATGTCGAATAGAGGGGGATGATCACGTCCCTCGATCTGCTCGCTATGCCCCTACTTATACATCCCAAAATGCCATTGGCCTTCTTGGCAACAAGGGCACACTGCTGACTCAGATCCAGCTTCTCATCCACTGTCACTCCTAGGTCCTTTTCCGCAGAACTGCTGCCTAGCCATTCGGTCCCTAGTCTGTAGCTGTGCATTGGGTTCTTCCGTCCTAAGTGCAGGACCCTGCACTTATCCTTATTGAACCTCATCAGATTTCTTTTGGCCCAATCTTCCAATTTGTCTAGGTCCCTCTGTATCCTATCCCTGCCCTCCAGCGTATCTACCACTCCTCCTAGTTTAGTATCATCCGCAAATTTGCTGAGAGTGCAATCCACACCATCCTCCAGATCATTTATGAAGATATTGAACAAAACCAGCCCCAGGACCGACCCCTGGGGCACTCCACTTGACACCGGCTGCCAACTAGACATGGAGCCATTGATCACTACCCGTTGAGCCTGACAATCTAGCCAGCTTTCTACCCACCTTATAGTGCATTCATCCAGCCCATACTTCCTTAACTTGCTGACAAGAATACTGTGGGAGACCGTGTCAAAAGCTTTGCTAAAGTCAAGAAACAATACATCCACTGCTTTCCTTTCATCCACAGAACCAGTAATCTCATCATAGAAGGCGATTAGATTAGTCAGGCATGACTTGCCCTTGGTGAATCCATGCTGACTGTTCCTGATCACTTTCCTTTCATGTAAGTGCTTCAGGATTGATTCTTTGAGGACCTGCTCAGACAGAAGGTAACACTGTTGGGGTGATGGGGAAGGAGTGAAATGGTACTAAAAATGACAGCTGTTCAGCAACCAACAGGGCAACATGAGGACAACTGAGAATGAGACAATTTTTGCCCAAAAGGGGAACCTGGGAACTTTAATAGACTGCTTTGCAGTGGGAAGAAGAGTAGAAATATGTGCTCCAGGTCTGTTTAGACTAGGAAAAATTATGGAAGTTAGGTCAGGTCATGAGGAAATATGCTACATACTCCTGGGCACTATATATGGGGATATATCTTTACTGCAAGACTAGTTGTGGTTTTACATCAGGACAGCTAACCCAACTGAGCTAACGCCATGGAAAATCCTAGTAGAGATGAGGCCCAGATACATTTTAACTTGATGTGGCTAGTCAAGGTCATCCGTCTCTCTCCCAGCTGGGGTTGGTGGGGATTCCTGATACTAGGCACACAACTCACTGAGGGACTACAGTGAATCAAACGGTGCCAACAGCCTTAAAATTCACTATGTGGGAATTAGGAAAATGATTAAAGAAAACATTTTTTTTTAAGCCCTAGACAAGATATAGATGGTGTTTATCCCCCTTGCAGATTCTCTGATGATAAATAAGGGCTGAGCGCTGATGGAAGCCTTTCCCACATTCAGAACATCTATACGGTCTCTCTTCTGTGTGGATCCTTTGATGTCTAATAAGGGCCGAGCTCACACTGAAGTTTTTCCCGCACTCGTAGCATTCATAGGGTCTCTCGTTAGTGTGCATTCTCTGATGTTTCGTAAAGGCTGAGCCATCAATGAAGTTTTTCCCACACTCAAAGCATTCATAGGGTCTCTCTCCTGTGTGAATTCTCTGATGATTAGTAAGGGCTGAACTGTCAGCAAACCTTTTGCCGCACTCACAGCATTTATAGGGTTTCTCTCCTGTGTGGATTCTCTGATGTCGAATGCGGTGTGAACTCTGTGTGAAGGTTTTCCCGCACTCACAGCATTCATAGGGTCTCTCTCCTGTGTGCATTCTCTGATGTGTAATTAAGATCTGAGCGATTACTGAAGGTTTTCCCACACTCACAGCATTCATACGGTCGCTCTCCTGTGTGGATTCTCTGATGTCTAATAAGATCTGAGTGGTTACTGAAGGTTTTCCCGCACTCACTGCATTCATGCGGTCGCTCTCCCGTATGCATTCTCTGATGTCTTATAAGGTGTGAGCTCTGACTGAAGCTTTTCCCACACTCATCACATTCATAAAGTCTCTCCCCTGTGTGGATTCTCTCATGATTAATAAGGTCTGAACGGTTACTGAAGTTTTTTCCACACTCAATACATGAATTTTTTCTCTCTTCCATGAGGTTTCTCTGCTGGGCTGGGGTTTCATGGATGTCTTTTTGAGCTTCCCAGCGACTGATGGATTTACCCACTCTCTCACCTGGTTGGTTTTCCTGCTGCATCTCTGGCTTGTGCTGACGCTCACTGGCGTTTTCCTACTCATGACTCATGAACACATTCCCTTTGGATCCTTGCAATAATGTTACATGTGTTTCCACTTGCTTAGCATCCTTCTGCTGAGGATTCCGGTTCTCATTCTGAATCACCATCCCAACATCTGCTGGGATAGAAAGGGAAACCTCAGAAACAGGAATGGAAAAGAGAGCTCTCAAGATCTTTGTAGGGAATCCCAGCTGTTCCTTCAGGCACTGACAGTTTTTAACTTGGATTAATGATTCCTCACGTATGCAGGCAAATTTCATGAACTGTCTTTCTTCTGGGTCCTGAGATCTCTGACCCACAGCTTCTCCCCTCATTGTAGCTTTGTAGCTGGAAGATCACATCAGATTTGGAAACCCTGCTCAGGGGAAAGAAAACATGGGATATTGGGTGAATTCATGAGATATCTGTCACACAGAATGTTCCATTATTTTAACCCCAGCCCATTTTAAAGCAATAAAGTCCTGGGGCCAGCTCCCAGGATGCTCAAATATGCCACACACACTGTGCTTATGAGGGATGTAACTATCCACATTTCTGCTGAAAATGCACAAAGCTAGGCATTCTTCATCAAAGGGGCTCCAAAAAATAGAGTAGGTAACTGACAGAATATACAACTGTATTCATACCTTACACCCTAATAACCTTTGTAAAAAGTGTGCCTTGTAAGGTATCATTTAAAAACTCAGTTAATATCCTGGCAAAATGCACATAGCAGCATTGTATATGAAGTTATAAACACAAGCTGAGATCACGACTAAAAGTCTGTTTTCCAGACAACTCTGGGGAGTGGCCAAACCAATTCCTCAGAGACAAAGGGTAAGAGGCTGTCTCAGCCAGGTGAAAGCAGAGCTGATAGACCATTACCTGCTAAGCAGCCATTCTTTGGCAGAAAAGGGAACAGGGGGAAAAAATTTACATCTTAGCAAAGAAGCAACATGGAGTTCCCTTCCACACAGACTGCCTGTCGCCTTGCTCCCTGCTGGAAAGACTTCTCAAAGGGGGAATGGGACTATAAAAAGAAGGGAAAGACACCCCTGAAACACCCCTCTTTCTCTCACTTCCCATCGCATTCACTGCACGTGAAGAGACAAAGGAAGCCTTCGTTGGCCTCTGGGAGAAGAGACCTAAGAAGTTTGGTCAGGCAGACTGTTGAAAGCATATAGTGAGAAAACTTTGCTTTGAATTTAACATAGTTTGTTAGGTAATTCACCACTGGTGTATCTTTATATGTCTTATAACCATTTCTGGCTTTTATACCTCATGACTTGTACTCACTTAAAATCTAGCTCTTTGTAATTAATAAACTTCTTTATTGTTTTACCTAATCCAGTGTGTTTAAACTGAAGTGTCTGGGAAACTCCATTTAGGGTGACAAGTTGTGTGCACATTATTCTTTTAAAGAAATAATGGACCTAATATAACTTGTATTGTCCAGGAGAGGGCGTATATTTCTGGAGGGAAATCTGAGACTGGGGGTGTGTTGGAGTCACCCGGCAGTATAACCAAGACTGGTGAGAGCCAGACTATAACCCAAAGGTGGCTGGCTGGTTGCAATTACACACACTCAGGATGTGGTTTGCATGCTGGCAGGCTGTTTGTGAGCAGCCCAGAGGGAGCTACTTCTGCAGGACATTGTAAGGCACCCACAGATACAACGCAGGGGTGACAGCTGCTCATTAGCCTAGATTGTACCCTGGTAGGCCACAGTAACTCCACCTCCCAGAAAATGAAGTCTCCAGCCCTAACGAAAATCCCTCTGGAACTGCTTCTTACAGACAGAGAGAGACCCAAAGACAATGAGAGAGTCCTAGGGAAGGTGGGACAGGTAAGCATGAACTCAGCATTGCAAGGAATAAGAAGGGGCAGGAATATCACTGAATGCAGTACGCCAGAGTTATTAGATATCAGGAAAGCACATTTTGAGGAATTAGGTTATCTAGCAAGTCTGATGTAGGTGGAGGGAGTATGAAAATCCCCCGGTATGTGGAGACTGATGGGGAATTAGATGCTATAATTCAAGATCAAAAGACTAATTCCTCTGCAAAAGGCGAATGTGAAAAATATTACTTGTACCATGTGATCTTGGTAGGGGCTGACTCAAAAAATCAAAGGAGCCTTCAGTATAGGCTTGAGATTTAATAAAATGTAAAAAACTTAAACAAACAAAACAAAAAAAACCCCACACACAAAAACCAGCGCGTAATTAAAATTTTTGTTATTTAAAAGTATAAAATATAATTTAATAATTTTTTTAAAAAAGCTAGTTTCACCTATATAATATAAATAAAAAACAATGCTCTTTAAAAACCATTTCTGAACTGCAGTTCAACATCCCGCTGCTGAAACTCTAACCCCTCTGCCCGACCATGATGTGCAAAGGCATTGCCAAAAAAACCCTAAATAAATAAATCCTAACTAGCCACCAAGCAAAATGTGTGTGTATAATAAAAATGGTAAGCATAAAAAATTTGCTTCATATATATTCTGTATATATTACTAATAAATAAATATTTAAAACAGCTGTGTAAAGCTCTTTCACTAAAAAAAGGTTCTGCAAACCCGTAAAGCCCCCCCCCCCCCCAGCAAATACTTAAATTAACCAGGTTTCTTCCTAAGCCCCAGGGGTAAAAATAGGTGCCTAAGCCTTCAAAAAAGATGCCGAAATGAATTGGGTCACGCCTTAAGCCGTCAATAGGATATAAGCAGGGGTGTCCTAAATTAACCAGGTCACGCCTTCAGCCCTCGGTAAAATATAGGCGGGGTGCCCTAAATTAAGCGGTAACAGCAGGAAAGAGAGATTGTGGCTGCTGCATAAGGGGAAGGGAAAGCAAGACCCTACGAACCTGCAGCAATTTTACTACTGACCTATGACATCTCTAAGATAGTACACATTTGTCCCAGGAAAGGGGTTGTATTGTGACTAGAAAGAATGTAAGGACTCAGGAACAGTGGCTGGGGTCCACATGGATACGGAACAGGGGCGTGTATGGTGGGCGGTGAGGTAAGCATTGTGCAGTGGCAAGAAGGGAAGAGTACAAATATTTGAGAAAAGTAAGGAAAATAGAGTGAAACTGGGCTAGAGGAAGAATGGAATGCAGGCGCTTACTCAGCGGGGTCTGGGCAGGAATTGTGTGTGAATGGGCTGGGATCCCCCACAGCTCCACATCCCTCAAAGCTCCCACAGCCCCTTCCTCCCACCCTCTCCACTTCCCAGGTATCCCGTAGTCATATTTCTCCAAACCCCTGTGATGGAGACGGAGCTGCTCCGTAATACTGATGAATGCTGTATGTTGCCCTGGTTCTTGCAATATTTACTGTCTGAATCATTTGGATTAGTTTCATAGGAGATCTGTGAGGAAAACAAGCAGGATAAGAAGAAGAATGTCTCAAGATGAGCCACCCTTGGCAAAAATAATGAATGGTTCTTAAGAGATAATGCCTGAACTTTGGATATTCTACTGGCTGGCAGTAGCCAGCTTGCAGAACTGGGTTAGATGAGCAGGACTGGAGCAGTTTACAAAGGGACTCCCTACTCCAGAGGGGATAGTTGTTCACACAGGGTATTGTCGCCCAGGGTCTAGGAATGGGAGAATTTCATTCCAGGAGAGGCAAAAGCACAAGGTCTGGCTGCTGGGGCGGGGAGAGGGGGGGGCACTCAGACATAAAGGAAAGGGAAGGAGTTGCAGTGAGCCCCATCTTTCATTATGACACATGCGCCTCTCCCTCACCACCTCCTGGGACCTGATGAGCACCTGCTGGAACTCACTGCAGGGGCTACCCAGAGCTCTGAGCCACTGTTACCTCCCTACCTCAGCAAGAGTGACTCGACCAGGGGTTCTCAAACTGGGGGTCGCGAGGTTATTACATGGGGGGGTCGCAAGCTGTCAGCCTCCACCCCAAACCCCGCTTTGCCTCCAGCATTTATAATGGTGTTAAATATAGAAAAAAATGGTTTTAATTTATAAGGGGGGTCGCACTCAGAGGCTTGCTGTATGAAAGGGGTCACCAGTACAAAAGTTTGAGAACCACTGGACTAGACTGTGCCAGCTTCCTGCTACACCAGCCTGTCTTCCTCACTAGCAAACTAGCAAGTAACAACCAGTGAACTCTGAGAGATGTTTCTCTGCAGCGCACAGCTCCTACCATGGCTCATCCTCAGACTACTCTGTGAAAGAGTCAGTGTAACTGGGATAAATACACCCATCCCTTCAAGCACAGCACTGAATTGGTTTATGATCAACAGAAGTTGGTCCAATAAAAGACATTACCTCACCCATCTAGTCTCTCTAAAAACAAATTTATTAACAGAAGATGTCATAAATATAAAGGGAAGGATAAACCCCTTTGAAATCCCTCCTGGCCAGGGGAAAGCTCCTCTCACCTGTAAAGGGTTAAGAAGCTAAAGGTAACCTCACTGGCACCTGACCAAAATGACCAATGAGGAGACAAGATACTTTCAAAAGCTGGGAGGAGGGAGAGAAACAAAGGGTCTGTCTGTCTATATGCTGGTTTCTGCCGGGGATAGACCAGGAATGGAGTCTTAGAACTTTTAGTAAGTAATCTAGCTAGGTATGTGTTAGATTATGATTTCTTTAAATGGCTGAGAAAAGAATTGTGCTGAATAGAATAACTATTTCTGTCTGTGTATCTTTTTTGTAACTTAAGGTTTTGCCTAGAGGGGTTCTCTATGTTTTTGAATCTAATTACCCCTGTAAGATATCTACCATCCTGATTTTACAGGGGGGATTTCTTTATTTCTATTTACTTCTATTTTTATTAAAAGTCTTCTTGTAAGAAAACTGAATGCTTTTTCATTGTTCTCAGATCCAAGGGTTTGGGTCTGTGGTCACCTATGCAAATTGGTGAGGCTTTTTATCCAACATTTCCCAGGAAAGGGGGGTGCAAGTGTTGGGAGGATTGTTCATTGTTCTTAAGATCCAAGGGTCTGGGTCTGTAGTCACCTAGGCAAATTGGTGAGGCTTTTTACCAAACCTTGTCCAGGAAGTGGGGTGCAAGGTTTTGGGAAGTATTTTGGGGGGAAAGACGCGTCCAAACAGCTCTTCCCCAGTAACCAGTATTAGTTTGGTGGTGCTGGCGGCCAGTCCAAGGACAACGGGTGGAATACTTTGTACCTTGGGGAAGTTTTGACCTAAGCTGGTAAAGATAAGCTTAGGAGGTTTTTCATGCAGGTCCCCACATCTGTACCCTAGAGTTCAGAGTGGGGGAGGAACCTTGACAGAAGAGCATTAATTAAGTGATCCCATGTAAAAGGGAGAGGTAGACCCATACAAAATGGGCAATGACTACCTAGGAAGGAGTACCACAGAAAGGGATCTGGGGGTCAGAGTGGACCAC